CTCTTGCAATATCTATTTTCCCTATTTGGTGTGTACTTGCAAACTCAATCTACTCCACAAAAATCGATATGCTTATAAGAGATATTTTCATCATAACTAGTGCAATCATCATTAGTACTATGGATATTCAAAGAGTTCATACTAACAACATTGCAATCATGATCATCATTCAAAGATTTAGTACCAAGCATTTTAATGCATTCTTCTTCTAGCACTTGAGCACAATTTTCCTTTTCATCATACTCACGAAAGATACTAAAAAGATAAAGCGTGTGCGACAAACTTAACTCCATTTTTTTGTAGTTTTCTTTTATAAACTAAACTAGTGATGAAACAAGAAACAAAAAGATTCGATTGCAAGATCTAAAGATATACCTTCAAGCACTCACCTCCCCGGCAACGGCGCCGGAAAAGAGCTTAGTTGAAGTGGTGTGAGTGCCGCTTACCTAGCCTTACCGGCAACGGCACCAGAAAAGAGCTTGATGTCTACTACGCAACCTTCTCCTTGTAGACGTTGTTGGGCCTCCAAGTGCAGAGGTTTGTAGGACAGTAGCAAATTTCCCTCAAGTGGATGACCTAAGGTTTATCAATCCGTGGGAGGCGTAGGATGAAGATGGTCTCTCTCAAACAACCCTGCAACCAAATAACAAAGAGTCTCTTGTGTCCCCAACACACCCAATACAATGGTAAATTGTATAGGTGCACTAGTTCGGCGAAGAGATGGTGATACAAGTGCAATATGGATAGTAGATATAGGTTTTTGTAATCTGAAAATATAAAAACAGCAAGGTAACTAATGATAAAAGTGAGCTTAAACGGTATTGCAATGGTAGGAAAATAGGCCTAGGGTTCATACTTTCACTAGTGCAAGTTCTCTCAACAATAATAACATAATTGGATCATATAACTATCCCTCAACATGCAACAAAGAGTCACTCCAAGCCACTAATAGCGGAGAACAAACGAAGAGATTATGGTAGGATACGAAACCACCTCAAAGTTGTCCTTTCTGTTCTATCTATTCAAGAGTCCGTAGTAAAATAACATGAAGCTATTCTTTCCGTTCAATCTATCATAGAGTTCATACTAGAATAACACCTTAAGACACAAATCAACCAAAACCCTAATGTCACCTAGATACTCCATTGTCACCTCATCCGCGGGCATGATTATACGATATGCATCACACAATCTCAGATTCATCTATTCAACCAACACAAAGTACTTCAAAGAGTGCCCCAAAGTTTCTACCGGAGAGTCAAGACGAAAACGTGTGCCAACCCTTATGCATAGGTCCATGGGCGGAACCCACAAGTTGATCACCAAAACATACATCAAGTGGACCACGTGATATCCCATTGTTACCACAGATAAGCACGACAAGACATACATCAAGTGTTCTCAAATCCTTAAAGACTCAATCCGATAAGATAACTTCAAAGGGAAAACTCATTCCATTACAAGAGAGTAGAGGGGGAGAAACATCATAAGATCCAACTATAATAGCAAAGCTCGTGATACATTAAGATCGTGCCATAGAGAGAACACAAGAGAGAGAGAGAGAGAGAGAGAGAGAGATCAAACACATAGCTACTGGTACATACCCTCAGCCCCGAGGGTGAACTACTCCCTCCTTGTCATGGAGAGCGCCGGGATGATGAAGATGGTCACCGGTGATGGATTCCCCCTCCGGCAGTGTGCCGGAACGGGCTCCTAAGAGGATTTTGGTGGCTACAGAGGCTTGCGGCGGCGGAACTCCCGATCTATCATTGTCCTTGATGTTTTTAGGGTATGTGGGAATATATAGGCGAAAGAAGTCGGTCGGGGGAGCCTCGAGGGGCCGACGAGACTAGGGGCGCGCCCAGGGGGTGTGGGCGCCCTCCTATGTCCTGGCCTCCTCGAAACTTCCCTCGCTTGTACTCCAAGTCTCCCGGATCATGTTCATTCCAAAAATCACGCTCCCGAAGGTTTCATTTCGTTTGGACTCCGTTTGATATTCTTTTTCTTCGAAATACTGAAACAGGCAATAAAACAGCAATACGGGCTGGGCCTCCAGTTAGTATGTTAGTCCTAAAAATGATATAAAAATGTAAAATAAAGCCCATAAACATCCAAAAGGGGTAATATAATAGCATGGAACAATCAAAAATTATAGATACGTTGGAGACGTATCAATGCATAACAACGAGCGGGGAGAGTTAGTCCACGTACCCTCGTAGAACGAAAGCGGAAGCGTTAGCACAACGCGGTTGATGTAGGCGTATGTCTTCACGATCTAACCGATCCAAGTACCGACGTACGGCACCTCCGAGTTCAGCACACTTTCAGCTCGATGACGTCCTGTGAACTCCGATCTAGCAAAGCTTCACGGGAGAGTTCCGTCAGCACGACGGCGTGATGACGATGATGATGTTGCTACCGACGCAGGGCTTCGACTAAGCACCGCTACGATATGACCGAGGTGGAATATGGTGGAGGGGGGCACCGCACACGGTCGGAGAGATCAATAGATCAACTTGTGTGTCATGGGGTGCCCCTAGCCTCAGTATATAAAGGAGGAGATGAGGGGAGGGGAGGGGCCGGCCCTCTCTATGGCGCGCCCTGGGGAGTCCTACTCCCACCGGGAGTAGGATTCCCCCCTTCCATGTAGTAGGAGTAGGAGTCAAGGAAAGGGAAAAGAGAAGAGAAGAAAGGAGGGGGCGCAGCCCCTCCCCCTAGTCCAATTCGGACTAGGCCTTGGGGGGGGGGCGGCCTGCCTCTCTCTTTTTTTCCCTTAAAGCCCAATAAGGCCCATATACTCCCCGGGGAATTCCCGTAACTCTCCGGTACTCCGATAAATACCCGAATCACTCGGAACCTTTCCGATGTCCGAATATAGTCGTCCAATATATCGATCTTTACGTCTCGACTATTTTGAGACTCCTCATCATGTTCCCGATCTCATCCGGGACTCCAAACTACCTTCGGTACATCAAAACACATAACTCATAGTATAAATTGTCACCGGATTTTAAGTGTGCGGACCCTACGGGTTCGAGAACTATGTAGACATGACCGAGACACGTCTCCAGTCAATAACCAATAGTGGAACCTGGATGCTCATATTGGTTCTCACATATTCTACGAAGATCTTTATCGGTCAAACCGCATAACAACATACGATGTTCCCTTTGTCATCGGTATGTTACTTGCCTAAGATTCGATCGTCGGTATCTCAATACCTAGTTCAATCTCATTATTGGCAAGTCTCTTTACTCGTTATGTTATGCATCATCCCGCAACTAACTCATTAGTCACATTGCTTGCAAGGCTTATAGTGATGTGCATTACCGAGAGGGCCCAGAGATACCTCTCCGACAATCGGAGTGACAAATCCTAATCTCAAAATACGCGAACTCAACAAGTACCTTCGGAGACACCTGTAGAGCACCTTTATAATCACCCAGTTACGTTGTGACGTTTGGTAGCACACAAAGTGTTCCTCTGGTAAACGGGAGTTGCATAATCTCATAGTCATAGGAACATGTATAAGTCATGAAGAAAGCAATAGCAACATACTAAACGATCAAGTGCTAAGCTAACGAAATGGGTCAAGTCAATCACATCATTCTCTAATGATGTGATCTCGTTAATCAAATGACAACTCATGTCTATGGTTAGGAAACACAACAATCTTTGATTCAACGAGCTAGTCAAGTAGAGGCATACTAGTGACATTATGTTTGTCTATGTATTCACACATGTACTAAGTTTCCGGTTAATACAATTCTAGCATGAATAATAAACATTTATCATGAAATAAGAAAATAAATAATAACTTTATTATTGCCTCTAGGGCATATTTCCTTCACCGCGCGCGCCGCCGCGGACATCGTCGCCGGCCCGAAAGCCACCATGGTATGTCCAGCAACTTTCGGCCTGCACCTTGCGCTCTATGTGTTCAACACATTGTCCGCCAGGTTTTTTGTTATTTATTCGTAGGCACCGACACATTGGATTCCGATGCTTCATCGGACGAGGAGTATGGACCAACAGTGCTTGATAAAATGATTGAAAATGAGTTCTTCGATTCGTCGAATTCGAGTGAAAAGGTGGATATGGTCATGCAAGAAGAAATGGACCGGCACGTGGAGCATATTCTCAACTTCAAGGGCTCAATCAAAGGGAGAGTTATTAATAGAGATAGGGTTTTCGGAGCATGGCTACTCTACAAGGATTATTTTGATCCGAACCCAACTTTTTCGGATAATCCATGGTTTCGTCGATGTTTTCGTATGCGCGAACCATTGTTTTTTGCGCGTTGTGTAGGGAGTGGAGGCACACGATGACTACTTCAAGCTCACTAGGGATTGTTGCGGCCATCTTTTTTTTCTCTAAGCAGAAATGCACGGCTGCACTGCGGATGCTTGCACTTGGTACTGTTGCCGATGTCGTCGGTGAGATGGTCTGAATGAAGGAGAGCACATACCTGAAAACTACTGTGAGGTTTGCCTGCACGTGTGGTGCAAGTGTTTGGAGCAGCGTATCTGAAAGAACCAAATGTGCGGGATACAAAAAGTTGTTGGCTATTAGACCAAATGTATTTTTGGCACCAACATTTATTATTCAGGTGCGACAATGACATGTATGATGGACCTGCGATCCAAATTTGAGGTATGTGCCTGCCAGATAGGAAGAGTCCACTGCCGGGCAAGAGATGTACGAGGGTGGCCCGGCTGCGTCCAACACGTGCCTGGGCGTGTCCACGGTCGTGTAGGGGACATTGCACGCAGATAGAGGCCAAACATCATGCAGGAAATTAACAGGGGTGGATGCTCTTACAACATAGCCTGAATTTTACATGCACGCCGCAATGATGGCAGTGAGCCTCTGAGGTTTCAATGACAGCATTCCCTCCAAACCGCAGTATTTTTACAGCAGATCCCTAAAGCGCCAACTTTGCTCGAAGTTTGGTCAGCTCAGCGAAATCGCTAGCCGCGCAGTATTTTTATAGCAGATCCCTAAAGCGCCATCTCTGCTTGAAGTTTGGTCAGTTCAGCGAAATCGCTAGCCGCCGGTCGAGAAGTCGCAGCCGACGTTGATGGTGCCACGTGTGTCCCCCGCGGCGGTTCAGGCAGCTCCAGGTCCAGTTCTTCCTCCTCGAGGTCTTCCAGTTCTGCCTCCAACTCGTCCTGATTCGGAAAAGGAGCAAGGTGTCATGCATCTTTGAAAATTGACGGTATGGACGGTATGGACCGGACAGTAAACGTTGGTAAACTAGTGCAAAGGGAAAAATAAACCAACCCATACCTCGTCGAATTCAGCCGAAGCACCGAATGGTGTAGCAAGTGCATCCTGTATCTGTTTCATATTTTCCGTATGCTCGTTCGCCTCTTCGATTGCATTCTCAATGTCATCAATACTCCTGCGGAAGGATTCACATATGTCAGCCTATTCAGGTATGGATATATTATCGGCAACCAATGGGCTGCATTCCTGCATCTATGCCAGGTAGCTTATACATGTATGGACTGTATGGCCATTGCTGCTGGGTGCGCATGTCATGACTATAAATGGAAACCTTCAATGAACGGGGTCTAGTTAAGCTTGGAAGGTGCAAAAGCTCAAGAAAACAAGAAGGGGAAATTAAGCAAACCTGAACTAGCGTGGACACAAATAACTACCGGGGACGAATTTTCATTTTAGAATAGAAATGGTAAAGTGGAGCCCTTTGGCACATGGAAATCCTACACCTTGGTATGCCACTGAAATGCAGAGGGATGATTGACTCTTACAGGGACTGTTGAATAGCTTTGACAGCAGATGACCCAGAGCGCAAAGCATCAACAGTGTCAGTTGTTGCCTTCGCATTTTCAAGCATTATAATCTGCACAAAATAATCTCCTATCAGTTTAATGCGTGGGCATATATTGAAATACTTCTATATCTTACATTACCTGATCATGAACTCGCAACTGAAAATTTGATAGCTGCTCAATCTGTGTCTCATACAACTTCTTTTTCTTTAAACACTGAATTGCAGCTGCAACAAAGAAGAAGCCGTTTCTCATGCAAGTTACAAAAGCATAAAAAACTAAGAAACATTACTTGTTATTCCAGGACCAAATAGCCATTAGCTAGAAATCCTTTTTAGACATGCAAGCACAGACTAGCAGCGTTTAAGTTTTTGCCTTGTGTTGATAGATTCTGTGTAAGACCTGACAAACAAATAAAGGATTTTCCACTAGGCTTACCATTCTTATTCTTTGCCTTTGTATAGTCCTTAGCCTTTTCTATTTCCGCGGAAGACTTTTTCTGAAGCAAACGCTCTTTCTTCTCCAGCATTTCTAGGGTCTACACATTACCGCAAAGTATTAACATATAAGCCACTGAGAATGAAAATATACGATAGTCAAATTAGCATTTAGCTGTATTCATAACTTGAGAACTCAAATTTATCTTTTTGTCTCGCTGGTATGAGCCCCTGAACATATAAGAGGCTATCGAATTCTCTCCGATAAACTATAATATCTCAGACATTGCTGTGAAAAGTGTTACTATTGCAATAATGTGCACAACATTAGGAAAGTGAGGACGTGATGGATTAATGAGTATAATTAACTAAGGCCGCAGGGGGGAATGAACACTACAATACATCAACCTAATCTGAAGTTTCCCTTTCCTTGGCCTTCGCATTAGGTTATTTTCCTACGATGACAATGATCTTTGTGTGCATGAAAACATGCTTCA